GTTGTTTCAGGGGGGCATTTATCCTTCTTGGTGGCCTCCAAGTTTCCTGGGTCTTGATTTGGTATCTGGCATTAATTTGGGGAAATTCTCAGTCATTATAGTTTCAAATCTTTCTTCTGTTCCTTTCTCTTTCTCCTTCTGGTGTTTCCATTACACACATACTACAAATTTTGCAGTTGTCCAACAGTCCCTAGATACTCTGTTCTTTTCAGTCTTTGTCCTCTTTGCTTTTCATTTTTTGAGAATTCTACTGAGACATCTTCTAGATCAGAGGTTCTTTCCTCATGTGTTGAGTCTACTAGTAAGCCCATCAAAGGTATTCTTCATTTCTGTTACAGTATTTAATCTCTAGCTCTGTATCTATCTCCTGAGGATTTCCATCTCTCTGCTTACACTGCCCACCTGTTCTTACATACTATTTTATCCATTAGATCCCTAAGCATATTAATCATAGTTATTTTAAACTCCTCGTCTGATAGCTCCAACTATGCGATGTCTGTTTCTGATATTTATTCTGTCTCTTCAAGTTATGCTTTTTGCCTTTCGGTGTGCCTTGTAATTTTTTCTTGATTGCTGGATATGATGTGTACTAGGCGAGAGGAATTACTGTAAACAGGCCTTTAATAACATGGTGGTGAGATGTGGAGGAAGGAAAACATTTTACAGTCCCAAGATTAGGTCTCAGTCTTTTGTGAGCCTGTGAATCCAGACCGTGTACTTTACCAATGTTTCTCTAGATTTTCTGCTATTCACCGTGGGAACCTGGTCAAAATCCTGAGGTAAATCTCATGATACTGTTGAGGCACCCCTATGACTGAGGCCCTTTGGAGTTTTCAATTGTCAAAGTTATCCATAGTAAGGCTCTAGCAATATGTCAATAATAGTTCTGATTCTGCAGTGGTTTCTGAGGTGCTTTCCACTTGTGAGTCTCTGTTCTAGGAAGCTGTGACTTCTTATATTTATTTGACTCTCCAATCTTGGGAAGACTACCTTGTGACTGTGAGGTTTTCACTGGGTCCTCTTCTCTCTTATACATCCAAGAGTTGTTGTTTTTTCAGACTTTTTAGCTTTTTATTTGTTGTTAGGATCAAGTGGTGACTTTGTTTTCTTTTTGCCATAATTTTTTTAAAAATCCCTAAAAAGCCAGTGTCACTTTAATTAACAAAAAATAATTTTTCTTTTAAGTAGGCGTCACGCCCAGCACAGAGACTAATATGGGGCTTAAACTCACAATGCTGATGAGATCAAGACCTTAGCTGAGATCAAGAGTTGGACACTTAACTGATTGAGCCATCCAGGCACCCCAATAAAAAATAATTTAATGTTTAAGTCACAAAGTATATTTTTACCTAGAAACATTTCAAGTAAAAAAAATTATGATAGACTCAATTTCTTTTATTTGTTTAACTACTGGGTTGTTGGGTTTTTTTTTTTTTAATGTTCATTTATTTTTGAGACAGAGTGTGAGCAGGAGAGGGGCAGAGAAAGAGGGAGACACAGAATTTGAAGCAGGCTGTAGGCTCTGAGCTGTCAGCACAGAGCCTGAAGCGGGGCTCAAACTCATGAACGAAAGATTACAAACTGAGTGGAAGTCAAATGCCCAACTGACTGAGCCACCCTGGTGCCCCAGACCCCATCTTTTTCAATTAGAATTTATATTACAGTTCAAAATTACAGAAAAATAAAGGTACAATAAATTAGATTAAGGCTCTCAATTATTTAAGTCAGTATTTAAGGATTAAAAGAAGTTCAAGCCCTATGTTAGAGATTACACGCACTTAGTAAGTTGAAGGAACTAGTTAACAAAAGATTTCTTAAGCCTTTTCCTATAATAGGCTATGGTACAGACTAATGACATGATCTAAAGCACAGTAAGACCAACTGTATAGAGGCTGCCACAGTATTTACTATTTAACAGTATTCCCATGAATTAGTTCTCAATAGTTTCAAACTTACGTATATTCTTTATAAGAAAGTACTCAAAATTTGATAAAAGTTTAATCAAATGATTGCTTTAGGAATGCCAATGAACACATATGAATTACTACCATGGAAGTCTCAGCATCAGCTAATGAAGAAAAGGTCATGACCCAACAGTGATTATTTGCATCATATTTAATAAAACATCACATATGCCTGGTTCACATTTGGTTTCTTTCACCATCTCCCTACTTTGTGTGTATGTGTGTATATACTTTGGTTTTCATTTTCACCTTCAAAAAGGAAAACCAAGGTGAATTTTACTCAAAATTCTCAGTGTAGAAAACCTCAGGATTTCAGTTATCAAGGTTATTTCACTGACAAGAAAAATTAGGAATTACTATGCTCTACTTTTCACTGCAGAAGTGGAAATTCACTGTAACATTCTCATTGAAAATATTCTTCTAAACCATGAGGGTTTTTTTTTTTTTAAACAGGAATGATAATTTACTCATTCATCTATTATCAGGGCCTGTCAGAATATTTGACAAATACTAAATACTCAACTGGCATCAGTGAATAACTCAATTAACTGAGACCAACTCAACCTTGCCACAAAATTAGTACAAAACTCTACACTCAAGTCTGCTTCTGATCTATCCAATGTCCACTCTAAAGTTCTTTAAAACCAAGAATATGATTGTACATGCAATGGAACAGCAACAAAAAAGGATATTCTGCTGCCAAAAAATGGTATTTTTTGAGAAAGTGGGATTTTTGATAACAAAAATACTCCTGGAAGCTGAAGAAATAAAACAACAATAAATGGTCTGAGTCAAAAGCACCAGAGCAACAGAACTGAATTCCTAAAATGTGCATGAAGCAAAAGTAGAAGCAAGATCCCAGTGTCCTAGTTGAAGTATTTTGGGTTAGCATTCCCCAGTCCGAATTAAAGCAGCTAATAAACAGCATGCTGGAAGAGTAAGCACAAAACTTAATACCTGTGGAATTTAGAAAGGCCTGGATGAAAATCTTTGGATAGTTTACTTAACCATCCTAAGCCTCCGAATTCTTACTTTTGGGGGTTGTTGTGAAGAGTAAAAGGTATAAATAGCATAGGATTATTTATTTTTATTAACAAAATAAAGACAAATAGCAACTCCCCCTTTAAAAAAACAAAACAAAAGGCTTACATATTTGCAGCATGACAAAGGGTTATTATCTTTACCACATAAGGATCTAAAAGTTACTTAAAAAACATCAAAATCCACCCATCCAAAATGATCAAGAAGTATAACTAGGGGCGCCTGGGTGGCTTAGTTGGTTAAGCGTCCGACTTTTGCTTAGGTCATGATCTCGCGGTTCGTGGGTTCGAGCCCCGCGTCGGGCTCTGTGCTGACTGCCAGCTCAGAGCCTGGAGCCTGTTTCAGAGTCTGTGACTCCCTCTCTCTCTGACCCTCCCTTGCTCACGCTGTCTCTCTCTCTCTCTTAGAAATAAAACATTAAAAAAAAAATCAAAATGATCAAGAAGTGTAACTAAATGAAGCACAAAGAAAACAAATAGCTAATAAATGTAAAAGGATTCTGGCCAGAAGTCAAAGAAACTTAACTAAAAACTTGTCATAGTTAAATATTAGTGATTCCTTAAAAATTATACTTCATATATTTATCTATTGTTCAGCAAACACTTACTGAGCACCAATACAAGTGTCCAACACAATGGTAATGGTAGTTTTAAAATGGCAAAACAGACATAGCCACTGCATTTAAGCACTTTCCAGAGGTATGCACAATACCTCTGTGAATACACAGGAGGGACAGAGGTTAAGGATGCCTCTTGAAAGAAGTAATCCCCACGTCAAGATCTGAAGGATAAATAAAATTCACCAGGCCAAGAAACAGAGAACTTTGATGTATAGGTAAAGGTTTGGAGACACGAGAAAGAAAGGTACTGCAAGTAGTTCATCATGTTTAGAGCAAAAACCTAGGGAAGGCATGGAGTAAAAACTGGTGGTAAGAGATAAGAATGGTGAGGTGTGTGTATCATGAAAGGCCATGTGAAGGTTAAAAAGAAAGTCACCCGCCCCTGAAAAGCAACTGAAAAAACTGAAGTAGTTTTAGGTAGGGAACTAACATTAATAGATTTGTTCTTCTGAAATATCTGGCTACAATATACAGAATGGAATGAAGAAGGAAGGACTAGAGTTAGGGAGACTAATTCTAGGAATTAGTTAGGAAATAGGGTAGAGAGGCTATATAAAAGAACTTTAATATATACTATATGACTAGACAGAACTTGGGGATTGTCAGGAAGCAGTGAGGGTCAAGAACCCCCCAAATTTTGGCTTGACAGGAAACTTAGGAAGAATAAGCTGGAGGGAAATGGAAGGGAATGATATTAGAAGCAGTGTCTACCATTTATTGAATATTTACTATGTGCCAGGCATTCCTCAAAGTCTTCTCTCATTAAAGACTCTCAACAATTATATGACATAAGCTCTGTTATTATCTCCATTTTACTGATGAGGAAATTGAAACACAAAGACTATAGGTAAGCTAATCAAAGTCAGCAATAAAGCTGAGATGTGAACACTGATAGTTTAGTTTGAACTATGCTCTTAATCACTATGTTACAAATACCTAACATTTACTTTAGATGATGGATTCAGTCTTAGACATGTTGTCTTTAAGGTATCTAAGGGATATGCAAGGGGAAAAACATCCAGTAGGCAGTTAGAAATGAGCATGGCATTTAAGAAGGAACTGGATCAAGATGTAAATTGCAAGTCATCAATATAAACATATAAATACAATGACGGATGGGATTCTCTAGGAAAAACATATAAAATAAAAAAAAGAAAGGTTAAGATTGAAACTTGATGAAAATTTAGTATTTTAGAAACTGGAAGAAGACTAATAAAATGGGAAAGAGGCAGAGCAAGGAACTTAAAGAAATGAGCTCTGCCTATATTCTGAAAACTATAAAACCTTAATGAAAGAAACTGAAGACATAAACAAATGGAAAGATATTCCATGATCATGGATTGGAAAAGTATTGTTTAAAATGTCCATACTCCAGACTATGACTCAAAGAAGGATCAAAACCCAGCAGAGTGCAAGCAGCAGTGAAGCAGGATGTATGTGGCCTTGAGGATAACCTGCACTGTAATAGCCTAAACACAACTATTATTTACTTACAGCCTTATGTTTTTGTATTTTCTTAGTAGACTCAGTAATTTTTTTTAAAGGAAAGGAACTGATAATTTTAAAGACCAATTTGTTCTACTTAGCATTTTAACTATAGTTTTTCTGCCAGCTCTATTGATTGCACAAATTCTTTCACGCGTATTCATTCATCACTACATGGTTTGGTTCTTCTGGAGTAATTTTTATCATGTAACAGTGTAGCTATGAAAGTGAATAGCCCTGTTACAAGAAACAGTTTTTTGTTGCGCTGATTCCCCCACCCCCACCCCCCCGAAGAACCAAAGTATTTTTTCAGCTGGTAATTGAATTGGGTTTAAGTTTGCTTGCACTATCTGTGCCTTTCATTACTTTGTTACAGAAATGCAGTGACTTAGACTTAAGACAATTCATTTAAAAAATAAAGAACTTGTCAAGACAAATATACGGTTAAGAATTTCCAGTAAGATCACAACTGATAACTTAGATTATTAATGGAATTTTGTACTTTAGGTGACATAGTTAGAGAAGCCTAGTAAGGAAACCATATAAGGAAACCTAACTCATAGCATGGTTATTGGTTACTATAGGGAGGTGAATAAAACCCATTTTCAGAAGTTAAGCCTCATTATTTTAACTGTACTTTTAAATTTAACCTCCATTAACTAAGCATCTTTTCTTTATGGTAGGGTCTACCTTCTGCTTCCCTGGAAAGGATGAATTTACATCATTTGACAAGCCTATTTCAAGTTTTTTTGTTGTTACTGTTTGCTTGTTTTTGTTTTTGCAGCCTAAAATAAAATGTCATATAATTTTAGTTCTCACAAGATAATGTCTTAATTTTGTACTAATTCAGGTAGAAGCAGAGGCCTAGCTTGAATTAATCATTGTACCCAGTTTACCATATTATGGAAGAAGAGAGTGTCAACTTTGGGAGAGGTACTACATCTGCTAATATAAGAAGATAGAAAAGAAAAAATCTTAAATGATGTATTTTTTTCTTAAAAAAAGATTAAACGGTTAAAATTTTATTTCCTTTGGTTAGAACTAGAGAGAAGGCCCCACGCTCTATAGTTAATTCCAGTTCTTATTGCTTAAAGTATGTCATTTTCCCATGCTTCTGTTTACTGTATATTACAATGGGTAGTACTGTTTACCTAACTACCTCACAGATATGTTAAGGCATGTTAAGTTAAATTTTATGAAATGTTTCTCGATCTCATTAAAAGCTCCAAAATTTGAACCTGTTTGTACCACAAGTATAATATTCAGCATTTTATTCATACCAGGGTTTGATAGTTCAACTGGAAAACAAAGGTTTAAGTACCTCTGTTCTGGATCTGGTCAGGCAACACTCTTGCAGATCTTTGTGTGGCTCCTGTCTAGTAAGTGGATGGATGAGCAGCTCTTTCACAAGGTCCAAGGATTGCTTTTAGGTATTTTAGTTTATGACCATATTGTAGTAAAATACTGCAGAGATCATGGGACTGAAGTAGAAAGAAGACCGTATTTAGGGGGGAAATGCCATTAAATTTGAGACTCATAGAGCCACATTTAAAATACCTCAGGCTAATTACTGTTAATTTTTTTGTGATGAGCTTAAAAGCTTTGACAGTGAGGGTGGATTAAATGGATTCTAACTAGAGGCTGGCCTAGAGTTCCTGCTCTTCATAAAACTGTATTGTTTCTAGAGGTGATAGAGCTTCCTTTTTGAAAATCTAGTATTAAGATCTTGGAATGTGAACACATTTTGTTATTTGTATACTACTTTTCATTCCTCTCCTGAGATTTTAATTAACTACTGGAAATCCTTAACCAGTTGCAATGGTTTGTAGGAAAAAAATGCCATGAAAACACCCTGTTTTTCCTCCTTATTTTCAGAATGCTTTTGGTTGCTTTAATTAGACATTCTTTGCTGATTTTTTTTTTTTTTGGTGCCCATAGCTCATGTGATCATAGCCTTTTCTGAACCTGACCAATTTTAATCTAAAGATAGAATCCCATTTTTAATTAACTTAAGTAGCAAAACCACTATTTTTTTCCTTCATTCCTTTAGGTAATAGCTATTGCCAAAGTAAAGGGGCAGATACGATTTCATCTTGTTATATAAAGGGGATGTGGTTTGCAGAGGAATTGTTTTCTTATTCAAGTTGGCATTGCAAGGGATATCAGTGTTTATCTGTGCCATCTCTCCAGTTCCAAAATGGTTCTATTCCATTCTAGAAATTTGAAATATGTAATTTGAAATCCTTAATAAAATTTGCATTTAATTTTATAAAAAAAAAAAATAAAATAAAATAAAATGTCCATACTACCCAACGCAATTTACAGATTCAATGTAATCCCCATCAAAATACCAGTGGTATTTTTCACAGAACTAGAACAAATAATGCCCAACATTTGCATGGAACAACAAAAGGCTCCAAAGAGCCGAAGCAATCTTGAGAAAAGAAGAAAGCTGGAGGTGTCACCGTTGCAAATTTCAAGATACACTACAAAGCTATAGTAATCCAAACTGTATGGTACTGGCACAAAGATAGATAGATTAATGGAGTAGAATGGAAAACTCAGATATAAATGCATATATGGTGAATTAATCTACAACAAAGAAGGAGACAATACAGACAGTCTGTTCAATAGATGGTGCTGGGAAATGGATTATTACTCTGCCATAATAAGAAAGATCTTACTATTTGTAACAGGTGGACCAAAGTCAGAGAAAGACAAATACCATCTGATTTCACTTACATGCAGAATCTAAAAAACAAAACAAATGAACAAACAAAAAGAACAGAAAGAAACCTATAATATAGAGAACTGTAGTTGCCACAGGAAGGGTGGTGGTCAAGGGATGAGCAAAATGGGTTAAAGGAGTGGCAGATACAGGCTTCTGGTTACAAAATATATGTTATGGGAATAAAAGGCACAACACAGAGAACATAGTCAATGGTATTATAATAGTATTGTATGGTGACAGATGGTAGCTACCCTTATGGTGAGCATAGCATAATGTATAGAGCTGTCCAATTACTATGTTGTACTCCTGAAACTAATATAATATTGAGTTAACTATATTTCACTAAAACAAAAATTTTTAAGTAATCTAAATAAGAATCAAATAAAGAAATGGGCTCTGAAAACAGATTTCCTGGGTATGAATTATAGCTCAGCCCTTTATTAGCTATGGATCTTTGACTAGTCACTTCTCTACACATCATTTTTTTGGACAATAGTGATAGGTACATATAGTTGTTCTGAGGATTAAATATGTTACATGTTTGGGACGGTATACAGAAAACAGCAAGTGAATTTTAAATATGATTAGTGTTAAAAAATAAAATAAATGATTAGTATTAATAATATCAACTAGATGGAAAAGGATCAAAGAGACAGAAGAAAGCCAAGAAGGATTAGCTGTCACTAAAATTAAAGGACAAGAGTGTTTTGAGAAGTTAACAATGTCAATATTGCTGTGCAGATAAGATAATGACTCAAAAATGTCCATTTAATAACAAAGAGTTTGATACTTTTTAAAGGAGGTATGAAACAGACACTGAACACTGCTTTAAGAAAGTGAACTTGAAAACCCATTTTTAAAAAATATATAATTTTTTGTCAAGTTGGCTAACATACAGTATATGCAGTGTGCTCTTGGTCTGGGGGATAGATTCCCATGATTCATCACTTACATATAACACCCAGTGCTCATCCCAACACTCCAACACCCATCACCCATTTTTCCCCTCTTCCCTTCACTTCCCCCCATCAACCCTCAGTTTATTCCCTGTATTCAAGAGTCTCTTATGGTTTGCCTCCCTCCTTTCCTGTTTGTAACTATTTTTCCCCTTCCCATCCCCCAGGGTCTTCTCTTCAGTTTCTCAAGATCCACATATGAATGAAAACATATAGTATCTTTCCCTGATTGACTTATTTCACTTAGCATAATACCCTCTAGATCCATCCATGTTGCTGCAAATGGCAGGATTTCATTCTTTCTCATTGCCAAGCAGTATTCCATTGTATTATACATACAAAGAAGAAACATCTTCTTTATCCATTCATCAGTTGATGGACATTTAGGCTCTTTCCATAATTTGGCTATTGTTGAAAGTGCTGCTATAAACATTGAGGTACATGTGTCCCTATGAATCAGCACTCCTGTATCCTTTGGATAAATTCCTAGTAGTGTTATTGCTGGGTTGTAGGGTAGTCCTATTTTTAATTTTTTGAAGAACCTCTATACTGTTTTCTAGAGTGGCTGTACCAGTTTGCATTCCCACCAACAGTGCAAAAGTGTTCCCCTCTCTCCACACCCTCGCCAACACCTGTTGTTCCCTTGTTACTGTTAGCCATTCTGAAAGGTATGAGGGGGTATTTCACTGTGGTTTTTATTTGTATTTCCCTCCTGATAAATGATGTTGAGCATCTTTTTATGTGTCTATTGGCTATCTGGATGTCTTCTTTGGAAACATGTCTATTCATATCTCTGCCAATTTCTTCACTGGATTGTTTTGTTTTTCGGGTGTTGAATTTGGTAAGTTCTTTCATAGATTTTGAATACTAACCCTTTATCTGATATGTCATTTGCAAATATCTTTTCCCATTCCGTCCATTGCCTTTTAGTTTTGTTGGTTGTTTCCTTTGCTGTTCAGAAGCTTTTTATCTCGATGAGGTCTCAGTAGTTCATTTTTGCTTTTAACTCCCTTGCCTTTGGAAACTTGTCAAGCAAGAAATTGCTGCGGCTAGGTCAAAGAGATTGTTGCCTGCTTTCTCCTCTAGGGTTTTGATGGTTTCCTGTCTCACATGTACATCTTTCATCCATTTTGAGTTTATTCTTGTGTATGGTGTAAGAAAGTGGTATCTAGTTTCCTTCTTTTGCATGTTGCTGTCCAGGTCTCCCAGCACCATTTGCTAAAGAGACTGTCTTTTTTCCATTGGATATTCTTTCCTGCTTATCAAAGATTAGTTGGCCATACCTTTGTGGGTCCAATTCTGGGTACTCTATTCCATTCCATTGGTCTATGTGTCTGTTTTTGTGCCAATACCTTACTTTCTTGATGATTACAGCTTTGTAATGCAGGCTAAAGCCTGGAATTCTGATGCCTCCTGCTTTGGTTTTCTCTTAAAACATTACTTTGGCTACTGGGGGTCTTTTGTGGTTCCATACAAATTTGAGGACTGTTTGTACTAGGTTTGAGAAGAATGCCAGTGTAATTTTGATTGGGATGCACTGAATGTATAGATTGCTTTGGGTGGTAGTGACATCTTAATATTAATTCTTCTAATCCATGAGCATGGAATGTTTTTCCATTTCTTTGTGTGTTCTTCAATTTCTGTAATAAGTTTTCTACAGTTTTCAGCACACAGACCCTTTACATCTTTGGTTAGGTTTATTCCTAGGTATTTTATGATTCTTTGATGCAATTACCAATGGGATAAATTTCTTGATTTCTCTTTTTGTTGCTTCATTACTGGGATATAGAAATGCAACTGATTTCTGCACACTGAATTTGTATCCTGTGACTTTGCTGAATTCAAGTATCAGTTCTAGCAGCTTTTTAGTAGTCTTTTGGGTTTTTCATGTAGAGTATCATGTCATCTGCAAAGAGTAAAAGTCTGACTTCTTTGCCAATTTGGATGCCTTTCATTTTATTTTATTGTAGGACTACTGAGGCTAGGACTTCCAACACTATGTTAAACAAGAGTGGTGAGAAAAGACATCCCCATCATGTTCCTGACCTTAGGGGGAAAGCTTTTTCTTAAAAAAAAAAAAAGCCCTTTTTAAAAAAAATTTTTTTTTAATGATTATTCTTGAGAAAGAGACAGAGCATGAGTAGGGGAAGGGCAGAAAGTGAGAGAGGGAGACACAGAATCCAAAGCAGGCTCCAGGCTCCGAGCTGTCAGCACAGAGCCCAACACGGGGCTCGAACTCACAAACTGTGAGATCATGACCTGACCCGAAATCTAACACTTAGCCAACTGAGCCACCCAGGCACCCGATAAAAAGCCCTTTCTTAAAATAAAAATTTGGGGAGGTGTATCAATAGCTTGAATATATTTATATCCTTTGACCGAGTACCAAGTAATTTTACTTTGAAAAAAAGGGAACAATCAAGAAGTGTTTCCAAAGTTTTATGTTCACTGCATCATCTACTAAAGCTAGAAAGAATCTAAGCATCTACTAGCAGTAAGAGTGGCATCAAGATATATCAAACATAAATTCAAATAAGCCAAAAATATCAACTGTGGTTATTCCTAATTAGCCTATAAACTTTTAATTTTTTTCTTTAGTATGTTCTAAAATGTCTCCTATGAACATACACTATTACTATAATCAGAAAAACTTAAGTGCTGTCTTTTTCTTTTTATTGCAATTGTCTAACATTAGAGACCTGGCTATACATAATTAACATAAAATAGATGTTTATCCATTCCAGAAAACAAAGTATGAGTAACAAAATAACATGTTACTGTTACAAAATATAAGTAACAGAGACTATTTTCCTATGTACTGTTCACATAATTTAAAGAAAAAATTTTAATTCCATCTAATTATTAATAATCTTTAAATTATTAATTTAAAATTATTAAGTCGGGGTGCCTGTGTGGCTCAGTCAGTTAAAAGTCCGACTCTTGCCTGGAGCCTGTCTTCGGATTCTGTGTCTCCCTCTCTCTCTGATCCTCCCCTGCTCATGCTGTCTCTATATCTCTCTCAAAAATAAATAAAACATTAAAAAAAAAAAAAGTCCGATCTTGATTTCACAGTCATGATGAAATCATGAGGTCATGATCTCACAGTGAGTTTGAGCCTCACACTGGGCTCTGTACTGACAGCTCAGAGCCTGCTTGGGATTCTCTCTCTCCCTTCTCTCTACCCCTAACCTGCTCATGCTCTTTCTCAAAATAAATAAATTTAAAAAGAACCAAAATGAT